CCCCCCCCCCGGGGCCGGCGACGGCCCCGGGCTCTGCGCCTGTCCCACGGCAGTTGCAATGCAGCAAGCCAGTTACCGCTACGAAGGCGGCGAGAAAGCAATCGCTTCCCACGCACGCACACCGGCTAGGTGGCCACATCCGCACCAGATGGGCCCCCGACAAACTCACCTACGCTTCCACACACGCCCTCCAGCCCCCTCCACGCTCGTTCAGTATGGGGGTGGGGGAGAAAAAAAAAAACCAAAACCCAAAGCCGGCCAAGCGCCCCTTCCAACCTGGTCTCCTTCTGCGCCTCTTCTTGGAGCCGAAGAGTTTGACCCGGGAAAAGACGTTTAACTTGTTTTTGTCGCAGCTGGTCTTGCCTTTGCTGGGGCTGCTGACACACTTGCAGGCGTTGGATTTCTCGCGCTCGCGGGCTTGTCTCTTCTGACGGATCAGCGAGCTGGCGATAGCCGCCGCCATGGCCACGACGCCCACCACCACCACTTCTTTGGCGGCCCCTCTCCGGCTTCGCCTGCGCCTCCGCCTCCCGCTCCTCCGCGGCGCGCCCCGCTCGGTCTGGCGCCGCGGCCGCCCTCGTCTCCCCGGCCGGCGCTCGCCCGGGCTTCTCCGCGCTCGGCCGTCAGCCGAGGAGGGGGCTCAGCATGCCGTCCGGGCTCCTCGGGCGGTGGGCCGGCTCCCGCGCGGGCTGCGGGCTGCCTGGGTCCGAGCCGACGCCACGGCCCCGGGCCGGGATCGCGACGAGAGACTGGCGGCGGAGGCGGCGCGGCGCGGCTGCGTGCGCTCGGCCCCTGCGCCCCGAGGACACTGTGCGAGTCCAAGCGGCTCGGGTCGGAGTTTCGCGGCACCCCCCGCCCTGTGCCGCGCGGAGGGGGCCGGAGCGGGGAGGCGGGCGGAGGGAGCGGCGCGGGCGGGAGAGAGGCCGCGAGCGCGGGCGGCGGGAGGGGGGGGGAAGGAGGAAGCGCGCGGGGGGAGCGCGCCCTCGCCCTGGCCCCTCCGAGCCTCCGACTAGTCCTTGCAACTTCGGGGCCTGGCCACCGGGAAAAGTTGGCCCGTGCCAGCTGGCCGACGGGGATCAAACAGGTAACGGCCTCGCATCTCGGCGGCGGCGTTGGCGGCGGCGGCGGCTGCTGCTGCTGCTCTGGGCGCGGCACAGTCTCTGCATAGGATTCCGGTCGCCGCCGGCACCCTCCGGAAGAGCGCCGCGGCCTCCCCGAGGCCCCCTCCCCCGGCGGCCCCTCCCTCCCGGAGCCCAGCCCGCCGGCGCCCGGCCGCCCCGCCCCCCGAGGCCCCGGCGGGCCGCGCGCTAACACCTGTAGGGGCTCTGGCGCCGCCCCACCTCCCGGAGCCTCCTGCCCTCCTCTTCCCGAGCCGAGCCTCGGGAGGAGGCGGTGGCGGAGGGGGCGCCGGGAGGAGGCGGTGGGGCTGGAAGAGCGGGGGCGGGGGGGAGGGAGAGCGGGGAGGGGGTCTGGCCTGGAGACGCGGGGGGCCGGGCGGGGGAGGGACCGTTGCCTTAGTGCCGGACTCTGAGACGGCCACGCTGCCCCGGGCTGGAGCCCCTGGGAAGTTCGCC